AAAATGATGAGATTTACATGTAAAAGGATCCATTGAAGGATACAATATTCGTGTTTGGTGAAGTGTTATAAAAAATTCAATTTTTAATAATTAATTACTGTACTTTTTACACGTTATAATTCCATTCTAGTTTACTTTTTAAAGTTATTTTTTATAGTAAATTGAACGTGTAAAGAAGTACAGTTTTTCATCTAAACACTTCATTTTCTTACAGTGGATTTTTCTGTATTTCTTCTTAACTTATGATGATTTTTATTTTTTAACTGTGTAAATATGATTGAAAATTCTTTGTTATTGCAATAGTTATTTTGCCAATAAAGATTCTCGACTGGAGAAAACATCTATCTTGCCCTTGGGCTTACAAGAATACTCATTGTTATCGATTGTACAGCAACATGCACCTGAACAATCACGACCAACAGCTGAATACTCTTTGGTTAGATTTTGACTTCGTTGACAAAATCGTATTGGCCTTCTTCTTTTTTTTTTTATAACAATATCATCTTACAATACTCTTATCTAAACTTTTCTGTTTCTACAAAGGAAAAGTTTCTTTCTAAACAAATAATCTGCTCGTTGCAATTCACCTTCTTACTATACAAATTGCTAACGGATATTTCATTTAAAAACTTGAATACCCTTTTCTAAATCTTAGGAAATTTTCTTTTAACTTCATTTTAAAATTCTTTACGTAACACGTGTCAGATTTTGTTAATGTCTTTCGCGCATTCTTCGTACTTTTTTAGTACTTACAAAAATGCTCAAGCTTTTTATCTAATTGTTAAACTATTTTCGAAAAAAAGTCCAGATTTAGGTGACAATATTAGAAATTTACTTTTTAATTTAAGTATAATTAAAATGTTAATCATCCAATGAATAAACTGCACAGGAGTAAATTCATAATCAAGTTTAGATGGTGCCATTAGAACTTGAAAACAACGAACACTACGATATCATTTCTATATATATATTTTTTTGGTCACGGGTTAGCGTAAAATGACGTCGAATTGACGTAATAGTGTACTGAAATTATACAGTATTATATTCGACTGGCAATTATTGATATTTATGAAAAATATACTATGTATTACAATACACACACTGGTGTGGGTGTGTTTACATTTTAAAGCTATAAGACAATTAACAGAAATGGTTTGAAAGTACTTGTATTTTCATCTCTTTAAACAAAGATTAATTTGTTTGACGTGTAGAGTGGGCTATAAATATATAAAAACAAAATAAATGCTTATCTTTGTTTTCATTTTATTAAATAATTTACTCTTTCAACAGATTTATTTGGTGTATTTTATGAGAATACTTTGCTACTCCTGTAAAAATTAAAATGTACATTTACACATTCACTTGGTGAATAAACAAAATTACAGAATTGTTAATTTAGTCTGTTATATATAAAATAATTAGTTAGTTTATTTATTTATTTTTTAGATAAACTTAGACTAGACTATATCGATTTGTATAACAGATCGTTTGATAAATGAAGTAAATTGCAACAATAATTTACATTCGTCCATCAGAATAAAATGTAAATTATTATATTATTTACAATATTTGTATATAATTGTTAAATATTATAAAATTCAAATAATTTTCTGCATTAATCACAAAATTTTACTTTATTTTTTTCCTATGTATATACTTTAAATTTTAATGGAATTTCAAAAGAATTTAATTATAATAGAGAAAATTTTCTACTTTTAATTAATAATTTAAAATAATTTATAATAAACAGTTCCTTCTGAATACAGGTGTAATTTCACAGCTGTTTCACAGCTAACTGACCCGACATTAGATTGTGAGTAATTTTAGTGAAAATCTACATTTATGAACTAAATTATTGTGAAAATATTCAATATAAGAATAAAAGAGAAGCATTTTAAGGTAAATTTATAATTATAATTAATATATATTTTCATTAGAAAATTTAAAATTATCCATTATACGGTACAGTACTGTTACAGTTTGCCTCTAAAGTATTGTAAGTTACACATAACCTATCCATCTGCCATTTTAAATTTAATATTAAATAGTAATTCTTCATTAAACTAAAAAAAAAAATGATTTTTCTAAATAAATATTTTAGTATTTTCTACGAAAATTCGGATAAATTCGTAACGGGATGTTAGTGTTTGGTGAATTCTAAAATAAAGAAATTGGTCTTAATGGTGTCCTTAATCTACAGGTTTTATACAGATTCATATATAAGTAAAATGAACAATTGCAGTAAAACCTGTGTAAACCGGAATCGAATTATTATTTCCGTTTTGGCAGTTTTTACTGTACTTATTAATATACAGGCTGCTGTACATTACAAAGAGCATTTCTTGTATTAAATTAAAATATATTAGAAAATTTATAACACCTATAATAAATTATTACTGTATAAAGGAAACAAACCATACCAACCATGTATAGGCAATGCAAGGCAGAGGAATTAGCTCCTTTCGCTTCCCCTCGTGGGCATCCCTGATTATAAATACTGTGAAGAGAGTTAATTAACTGAATTTCTAGGAAGTAGTTGTAAAGAAATGCTATTAAATAATGCGGTTCTTTAATTTAACTTGAATATTATTGACTTTGTTTTTAATTTTTATGTCGTAAATTTAATGGCACATTCAGTAAAAATGAATATAAAATGTGATATTTATAAACAAATAACCATTAAAATAATTTTAATAATAGAAGATTTCAATGAAGAGGTATTCAATAAGTGAGCAAGAATTTCTTGAATTTTTAATCTCTCTTCTCTCCTCTTGTCTCTTTGTTTTCTCTCTCTTCTTCTCTTTTCTTCTTATCTATTTAGAGAAAAATACAAGAATTGGTAAGAAAATACTTCAATAGAACATTTAGAATGAAAACAGATGAATTTTTTAGTATTTTTTTTACACGGTTTTCTTCCCTCAAACGTCAGCATCCCTTCTCCATTTATCTTGAGAAGAATTTCGTACACGGAGGAAGAATATTCCAAATATAAAATATAAATGCTAAAATAAAAATTTATTATAAAATTAGACGAGCATTTTACATTAAATAAGAATAAAATTTGAGACTTATAAAAGAAAGAAAGGAAAAATATTTTTTTTTTGTGTGTGTGATAATGAATTCAATTAAAACTGGTAGGAATTTGTTGATTTAGAGAAAGAATTGAGAAGACAAGTATTTCAATAGAACAGAAAAGAGACAAATTTTCTTTCATTTTTAATGGTTTTATTCTCTCTAGCAACAGAAATTTTTAATATAATTTTTTAAAGAAGATTCTTATGTATAGGAGAAGAATATTAGTTAAGATTTAAACATTTTGCTGATATTTATATACGGAGTGGGTTAAAAATAACTAGGCATTCAGAAATCTTATAATTTCTGAACTTTAAAGTAAACATGATGAAAATTATACATATGCATACTTTAAATTAAATGTACGCACGAGTATCATTCACCAACGACACGTTCTCCTCAGATTGTCATGATGACGGACAACACACACTGTGTCCTAAACCGAATTTATGGTCATTTAACTTTAAATGACAATTCTTGATTGTTTCCGGACAGATTGCGGCACTACGTTCCTGTACCGTAAGCCACCATTTCTGCACAGCAACCATTGATTTCCACACCACATAAGGGCAGAAATCTGAGCTCTCTCCTGACAATCGGTCGCCATCGTTTTTGCCAATGCACGTGCAGCCTCTATCGGTCACTGTTCACACCATTGATGTAGGAATTAGAAAATTCCATTAACTGATGTACATGAAAACATAAATTTTATTACAATTGCCTTATTATTACAAAACTTATAGTGATGTTTTAATGTCTAGTTACTTTCCATCCATCCTGTATTTAATATTATATAAAAATATCAAGATGGGTATATATAAGTATTCTTACTTGCATATTTTTTATACACAAATCCTTATAATCTTTTATACAATTTAAAATAATGTTTTAAGAATTATAAGTAGTAAATTTAATTGTTTTAAATTAATGAAAGCGCAGATCGTAGATAAAAATATTCAGTAAAAGTTAACTTAAGTACTTCATCTGTATATAAATTCTATAGAGACTCGATTAAATATTTTCTAAATATAAAATAATTAAAAATTTAAATAGAAATTAACTAGAATTAATTTTAATTAATTTAATATTATATTTTTATATAAAAAAAACAAAAATAATTTACTTATTTTCAATTATTTTTGTTTACAATATTAATTCTTACATTAAGAAGTAAATGAAATTAATTAATTAATTTAAAAATTATATAATAGTATTTAAAT